CAACAACAACAGTATACATAAAGTGTGCTCTGAGAGGTTGCCTCAAATCTTCCAGTTGCCAAATTGTTAGAGCTAATATAATTCCCTCATTTTGGAGAAGAGAGCATTCAGATCTAATGATTTAAAATGAATCCTTTGTTTAAAATTTTGCCTCCCAATGTAGTTTTTCTTTTTCCTGCATATAATCATACTATTATTCCCAATTGCTTTTCTTTTTCTTCATTCTGTATTCCAGAATTTCTTCAATCTGTTTTGTTTTCTGTCTGCATATTGTATTTGTTGTTGTTGGTTGCTATCACATTGATTCCAACTCATGGAGTTCCCAGGTGTGCAGTGTAGAACTGCTCTGTAGGGTTTTCAAGGCTGTGACATTTTGGAAGATCACATTTTGTACTTGGGTCAAGCTATTTTGCTTCCACTAAATTTGATCCATGCTTTTCTTCATTTGCTTTTCTTATATTGTTCTCTTTATTCTCACCTAAGAATAATTCATCTTCTCAAATTACTCTATTTCCTGTCTGTCTTCGTAGTATTTAACATATACCTCTTATTACTTTCTGTTCACTTTTTTTTTTTTTTTTAATTTAAAATGATTTTTAGCTTCATATTTTAGTCAGTGATATGTTTTTATTACCACTTCCCTCTTCCTGATCTTGGAAGGAAGGATGGGCAATCTGCTTCCATAGTGATACTGCCTCAGCAACCCTATGAGTTGGGTCCGACTTGACGGCACATAACAACAACAACAACAACTTCCTGATCTAGAGGGAATGGTGATTATCCAATACAGTGGCTATCTAATTTTGCTTTTGATCACTATGTTGTTGTTGTTGTTATGTGCCGTGGAGTCGGACCCGACTCATAGCGACTCCTCCTTGGGTTTCCGAGGCAGTATCACTACGGAAGTAGATTGCCCCATCTTCCTTCCGAGGAGTGGCTGGTGGGTTTGAACCACCAGCCTTCTGGTTAGCAGTCAAGTGCCTATAGCATAGTGTTTTGTGGATGCTAAGAGAAATATTTGAATTCTTATGCATTAATACAGACACCACATCATTTGGGTTGCTTTTGGAAAACCCAACTCATATTGACGTATAATTCACAAAAGTTTATCAAATCTCATAACTAAAAAGTCTAAAGGCAGAATTGCCTTTAGTATTTGTTTGATCTGTTAAGTTCATGATTCCGTCTGTGGTAAGCTCTGTTTTTCTGTACTTCTTATAATTCTCTTGACTTCATCCTCAGAATAGATTCCTTCATTATACAGAGAGAATTTCAAACACTCTTGGAGTTTTGTACCTGTTCTTTTATACCCTGAGAGAAGGGAGAGCTATCTAACAAAAATCCCAAACTTTATTCTTACTGTACCATTTAAATTTCCTTTCCTAAACCAGTATCTCAATATGAATGGGTTTACCACATTTGGTTTACAATAATCAGGGCCATCCATTCCTTACTGCTCAGGTTGGGGGAGTGTGTTCTAGCAGTCTCTCCACACTGATATACAATAGGATAGGCAGGCAACCACAGTGTTTATCACATACAGAAACTAGTAATATTTATTCTAACATTAAATTCATGTTACCTATCAGTGTAAGGGGCTTTGGTCTCATCGTGGGTAAAGCACTCAGCTGCTGGCCAGAAGGTCAGCTGTTCAAACCCATCAACTGTTCCATAGGAGAAAGATGACACAGTCGGCTTCTATAAGGATTTTCAGCATTGGAAATACTGTGAGGTAGTTTGTTCACCTTATACGCCTGTGGTAGTTTCATTTGTGTGTCAACTTGGCTGGGCCTGGTTGAGTGGCTGGGCAGCTGGTGGTAGTTATTCCCCATGAAGAGACTGGCAATCAAGTCCATTGTTGGGATCTACCACAAGCAGCTGAGTAGCTGGCTTTGGGATGTGGTCTGCTTCTAGTATTTAAGGAGAAGCCTTGGGAATGGTCTCTAGCCTATGGCACACTTGGACCCTGCATGTAGCCATGTCGTTGCTCAGCAGCCTGCTATGCTCTGCCAACCTCGGGACTTACAAAGGACTTAAGGGAATGGCCTGCCGTGTGGTTTGGTAACATCAGGACTTTGCCTCTTTACTTGTCAACCTTGGGGCTTCTCGGCCTCAGCAGCAAGCAGCTGTCTGAGTGAAGAAATGCTTCTAGCTCCATTGGGCCAGGAGCAGGAGGCAGAGCTGGACCCCAAGGTTGAGGGGCTTTCTCACCCACCCCCTAGAGCTTGGCATTTTGAACTTGGACTTAAAGCCTCCAAATTGTAAGAATAAACTTGTATTTGTTAAGGCCATCCCAATTGTATATTTCTTGTCAGAGTGGCACTAGGTAACCAGAACAATGCCTATCTGTTGTTTGGCAAGCCTTGGTATTTTCAAGTGCCTCATATGCATGTGAAAGCTGGACACTGAGTAAGGAAGACTGAAGAACTGATGCATTTGAATTATGGTATTGGCAAAGAATATTAAATATACCATGGGAGCTCTGGTGGTGTAGTGCCTAAGGCATTTTGATGTGTTATTTCCTCTTAGCTGGTGTCTTCAACCAAACTTCCAGCTTACATTTACCCGTGAAAGTCTCCTGCTGCCTGTTTAGAAGGCTTCTGTTTTTGCACTGTGACTGATCTTGCTGTGATTAGTCAACCCCTGCTTTCACTTGACCATAAGGTTGGCAGTTCAAACCCACCAGCCACTCTTGGGAAGGAAGGTTGGGCAATCTAATCTCTGTCCTATAGGGTCACTATGAGTCAGAATTGACTCAATGTAAGTGGCTTTGGTTTTTTTTTTTTTTGGATCAGTGGTTATGTTCACCTGTACATGCCAACTTGTATTTGAAGGTTAAGGAGCAGAGCCTAATAGACCCAGTGAACAGAAAAAAGGGTCAAATTTACATCATCTTTTATGTTTTCATATTTTAAGCTATGAATTAACTAGGTAGTATAGTATCATAAACATGACACCTCAAGTATCTGAATTCCAGAAGAAAAGATAGAAGCATCTTGGAAAGCAGCAACTCAGGTATATATGATTATTGCTAAAAAATCCTGAGATTTTTTCGCATAAATGACATCTCAGATAACAGTTTTAAATCTTTAATGTACATATAAATCACTTGAGGATCTTACTAATAAATTCCAGTTTCTGATTTTATAGTTTTAGGTTAGAGCCTGAGATTCTTCATTTTTAATAAATTCCCAGATGATTCTGTTGATCCTGGTCCGTTTTGCATAGTTAGGGTTTAAGATCCCAAAATGTTTTTGCCATTTTCTGAAAGTGTTGAGAACAACCTGAGTTTACTATTGCAGGTTACCATTGTTTCTTTCTTAAATCTCTGCAATAGTCTCATAATTTGCCTCCCTCCTTAATTTATCTACAATGTGGTCTCTAAATATCAGTTAGATTGGTTATTTTAAAATTTAAATCTGTTGTATCGTTCCACTGCTTAAAACTTCTGAGGGTATCCCACTGCATTAAAATAATATCTAAACTCCTTTTCATAATTTTGTTGTTGTTAGGTGCCATCAAATTGGTTCTGACTCATAGCAACCCTGCATTCAACAGATTGAAGTCCTGCATGATCTTTCACCATACTCATAGTCATTGCTATGTTTAAAACTATTGTTGCAGTCATTGGGTCATTCCATTTCAATAAGGGTCTTCCTCTTTCTCACTGACCCTCTACTTTACCAAGCGCAATGTCCTTCTCCAGGGACTATTCCCTACTGATAATATGTTCAAAGTACCTGAGATGAAGTCTCGACATCTTTGCTTCTAAGGAGCATTCTGACTGCACTTCTTCCAAGACAGATTTGTTTGTTCTTCTGTCAGTGCATGACACAAAACACAATGCACTGCCATCAGGTCAGATCCGACTCATAGCTACCCCTCCTTGGGTTTCCAAGGTGGTATCACTACGGAAGTAGATTGCCCAACCTTCCTTCCCAGGAGTGGCTGGTGTGTTTGAAACGCCAGCCTTATGGTTAGCAGTCAAATGCCTTAGGCACTACGCCACCAGAGCTCCCATGGTATATTTAATATTTTTTGCCAATATCATTATTCAAATGCATCAATTTTTCAATCTTCCTTACTCATTGTCCAGCTTTCACATGCATGTGAGGTGCTTGAAAATACCATGGCTTGCCAAACAATTGGTAGGCGTGTAAGGTGAACAAATAAAACCAGCGAGATATGCATTTCTTAGAACAATCATCCATATGAGACCAAATGGGCAGCATTTGCCCAGGATTAAAACTCACAAGGCAGAAAGGGATGGGAAGGAAAGATAAATGGAAATGGTAATCACAGAGAGGAAGTGTGAAGAGTGCTGTCATATTGTGAGGTTGCAATCAATGTCATGAAACAAAATGTGTATGAATTGTTGAATGGAAAACCAATTTGCTCTGTAAGCTTTCACTCAGATCCCAATAAAAATGTTAAAACACACACCATGGTTTGAGTCAAGTGACATCTTTGCTTTTTTAACACTTTTTGAAAGAGGTATTTTGTAGCAGATTTGCCCAATGCAATGCACCATTTGATTTCTTCACTGCTGCTTGCCTGGACTTTTCATAGCTGTGTACTTCTGAATTAAGTGCTGTGTGTGGGGCCTGTCTCTTGATGTAGCTCCTGCCTACCTCTGCAAAGTCATACCTCTTATTCACTGTGGTTCAAGTCCTTTGCAACTGATGACTCTTTATGCTGCTCGTAATGCTCGGCTCCCCTGTATCTTTACTTGACTGGCTCCTTATTATTCATGTTTCTCCTTAAATGTTTATCATTTCTGAGTATATCTTATTGACTTCAGAGAAATAAATTCTTATAGATGTTGTATGGAGAAAGTGGATCACTAAATCTTAGTTCCATTAACACAGGGATAAAAGTAGCTTTAAAATTAGATAGGCTTGATTCATGTTGAAGATTAATTCATGATACATTTTAAACTTTATTCCCCATATTTTTATGGTATTAATAAGTTTTTTTTTTTTTCCTTTCTTACAATGAAGTCACTGTGTGCCCAGTATTCTGCAGACAAACGAGAAGATGAAAAGATGTGTGATCATTTGATAAGAGCAGCTAAATATCGAGACCATGTGACAGCAACTCAACTAATCCAGAAAATTATCAACATTCTCACAGACAAGCATGGAGCCTGGGGAAATTCCACAGTAAGGTAAAAGGATACCTTTAGGATTTGGCCACTGAATTTCTGTAGTTGGCCCAGGTTTAGATAAATGGCTTTGGGTATGATCAAAGCTAGATTAAGAAAGTAATTTAATTTTGTATTTTATCGTCTACTACTTTGAATTTAAAGCCAAGAGTAAGGAAAAAATCAGTATAGGTACAGTCACATCTTCTCAAAGCATATTCTCTCATGTATATTTATTTGTTTTGAGGTGAGCTATTAATAGAAGTGGTTAACTTATTATTTTATTAGCTACACTTATAGTTGCATTTATACAATTACAATATTTTATTTAAAAAACTATTCCCTGTTTTACTTCTTGGAATTTTTAGCACAAATTTGAAAGTATGTGTTTGTATTCTTGATTTGTGTTGCAAATCTCAGGACTAGGATGATAAAAGTCGTTAACTGCTCTCTTTAAAAGTACTACCTATAGAATTTTATTCAATGTATATATCTCCTTTTACTAAACATGCTAGTTTTGATTATACTTTCTAGAAGCAAAGTAATTTAATCACCTTTAAGGACTAAAGAATTTAGATCAAATGATAAAACTTAGTCCCCATGGAATATTTTATAAATCTTTGAAACGCTTTTGCCTCTTTCACATAGGTTAAGGAAGTTTTATATTCTTCCATTTGAAACACATATGTTTTAATTTTTCATTTCTAGACTTTTTTAGGCATAAGTGAAATAATTAAAATAGTAAATTACATGTGTTTTACACATGGATATAAATAGAGTATGTGTGTTGATTGAAGTCCCTGGCTGGTGCAAATCATTAACACTGTTGTCTACTAAATGAGTGTTTGGAGACCTAGCCAGAGGCTCCTTGCAAGAAAGGCCTGGTGATCTGTTTCCACAAAATCAGCCACTGAAGCCCCATAGAGCACCTTTCTGTTCTGACACATATGCGGTCACCACGAGTCGGAATCAACTCCAACACTTCGGGTTTATTGGTTTTGTATTTTAATCAGTTAATACTGGACTGCTAACCAGAAGGCTGGCGGTTCAAACCCACCAGCCACTCCTTGGGAGGAAGATGGGGCAGTCTACTTCCGTAGTGATATTGCCTTGGGAAACCCAAGGAGGGTTGCTATGAGTCGGGTCCGATTCGATGGCACGTAACAACAACAACAGTATGTCTGGCAGACATCTTCAAATAGTTCTAGACATTTTTTAATACAAAGAAAATATGATTTCAATTTTTGAAAGATAAAAAATTGTACTTGAAAGCTACTTGTTATGGGATTTTTTGAGTTTGAATACAAGTATGGACTAATAAGGAGTAGGTATATGTCATGATGCTTTTTAGGAAAATAGTTAAATGTAAATGAATTACATTTCCTGATATTTCATTTTTAGTATTCAAAGGCTAGGTCAAAAGGACAGAATAAAGACAGGAATCTTGTTTATTTGTTTGAATCTTATCCCAGCTGATATCAGCTGCAAGGGTGATTGTTGTAATTAATGACAGAGATCTCTGGTTCTGTACTCCTAGGCCATTCATAAGGTGTGTGTGTGTGTGTGTGTGTGTGTGTGTGTGTGTGTGTGTTTGGAATGGTGGGTTTAATTCAGGGCTTTAGAGTTTGAACATAATTTAATACCTCAAATTTGTTGTGGTCATTTTGATATTAAATGCTGAATAAATTAGAATATTACCTTGATGTACAGTGCTTGATACATGTGGGAACTCAATACATACAGATTTGTTATATTAAAAAAAAAAAAAAAAGGATTGATTTTTTTTTTTTTTTTAATTTAAAAGAGTTTCAAAATTTTAAAATTGAAAAACTTTTAATAACTTATACCAAGTATTTCATGGATCAATGGATCATTTTTATGTGATCAAAATTCTTTCTAATGATTATTATGCCTTCGTGTATAGCACAGTGAACCTGTGCTATCACAATGAAAGTATTATTTTTCTGAAGTGCTTTTGGTATAATAAAATATCTTGAACTAAATGTACTGTGAAATGTATTTATCTAGAAATAGCTTTTCTGTAATAGAATTATTTAAAGACATCATCTTGGACTGTTCTTATATACCACTAGAAACAGTTGAAGTAAAGTCTGAAAGTTTAATATTTTTGATCATCTAGAGAAGAAAACATTTTTTACTTTTATCTCCCAAATTAAAACAGCTGTCAAACTGTTAACTATTAATGTGTTTATTTTCAATTGAGAACAACACAGGATGTCCTACTGAAAGGAAAATGAATATTATCAAGTTTGATATTTTTCTATCTGTAAATCTCAAAACTTGTTTACATTTTAATAAAAACAGTATTGTACGAAAGTACATTACCTACATGCTGGTATTTCTTTTGTCATTCTATTTAGGTTGTGTCATGTTCAACTGCTACTTATTTAGAACACCTGGTTGGTTGTTCCTAATGCCTTTTATACCATTCTGTTAAAATAGTTCTTTTCAATATTAATTCCCATTAAAGTGTACTTGTAGATCTTGATGTTCCTTTTTAGCT